ATCTGGGTCATCCCATTCACGTTTTTTGTCCCATAAGCGCTGAATGATAATTTTGGCTCTTGTTGTGAATGGAATTAAGAAGCCTAATGGATCATATTGGCTTGCTAGGGTTTTGTAAATGTTTCTCAATGTTGGTACAGAATTTTCTTGTTGTTTGTATCTGTAACCAAGAACATCTGAAGAGCACTGCCAGCGTAGGCCCAGAGTCATTTCTTGTGGGTCTGCTCCACTTTGAGTGAACCAATGGTGACTGTTTGCAGATTTCAGCTCATCCGGGAGATGAGCGATTACTGATGGAGTGTTGGTGGCCCACTGCCTCAATTCAAAGCCACCCTCTGAAAGGAGTTTCTGCATCTTGGTTACAAGAGTCTGTGCTTCATCAGCTGATGGAAAACTCTGCAGCCAGTTGTCAACATAAACGTTGTGCTCTACTGAGGCATGCACATCCTCTTCTGCTTTGATGTGATCATACACGTGTTTCTGCAAAGCAAATGTTGCGCAACAGGGGCTGCAGACTGTTCCAAAAGGCAATACCTGCCACTCATAAACAGTGGGGGCTCTTCTCTGGTCCAAGTTTCTCCAAAGGAAATGGAGAAAGGGTTTGTCCTCCTGCAGCAGACCCACCTGGTGGAACATTCCTTTTATATCGCTGCTAATAGCAATGCCATTTTCCCTGAAGCGCAGAAGTACTCCTAAGAGGGTTGGTCCAAGTGTAGGGCCAGGGAGGAGATTGTCATTTAGGCTTGTTCCTTTGTGCTTAAATGAGCAGTTGAAGACAATTCTGTGCTTTTCATTGTGTTGAACAATGTGATGTGGTATGTACCATGTGCGATGGCTTTTCTCTGTCTCCTCTGGTGTCAGCTTCGAGATGTAGCCAGCATTTTCAAGTTTCTGCACTTCATTAATGTACACTGATGCAAGATCTGTGTTCTGCAAAAGGCGCTTTTCTGTGCTTCTTAAATGAGCTGTTACTGCTTCTTTAGATGATTGCAAAGGTGGAAGATTTATTTTCCAGAGGAGGGGTGTTGCATACCTTTGAATGTCTCCGACTGCCAGCCTGATTATTTTCTTCTCAAGAATTTGCACTGCTTCTGTGTCTTGCCTTGATCTTGTGATCAGTTTTTCACTCCGATATGGAAGTGTATCCATTTGCCACAATTTCTGTACATTATTGAACAATTCTGCTTCTGGTGACAAAGTGGAGGTTAATAGACACTGCTGTGGTGAGAGCTGACTGGCAAGGAACTTTGAGGGGCCTTGCAGAGTCCACCCAAGTCTGGTTTTCACAGCGGCAGGACCACCTGGAGGTCCAAGACGTACTGGCTCTGTAGCTGTGATTAAATGCGGGTAGTCTGAGCCAATAAGTAAGAGTGGTTGAGCCTGCTGCATTTGGGGAATAGGCAGGCCTTGTAGGTGTCTGTATTTCTTCTGCAGCAACTTAACAGGATAAGTTTGTTTTGCGAGGCTCAGTTCTTTGGCTGTGAAAGCTTTTTCAATGGTGAAGGATTTGTTCGGCTGAGATACAGAGGCTACTGAGAATGAAACAGCCGCCCCATGAACGACCCGTATGTCTTGTCTCACAGTACGGAGGGCTATATCTTCAGGTAGTCCTTGAAGATCAAGTTGCTGTGCTGCTTCATACAGTAACATTGTCCTCTCTGAACCGTCATCCAGTATGGCATATGTATCAAGTTGCTTCTCACCATTTCTCAAGATCACTCGGCTGACTTTCAGAAGAACTTTACTGCTGGCGGTTGGTCTGTGCAGATACAGTGTCTCCACTTCTGAGTTCACAAGACAACTGTTTTCTGCTGAAGATTGTGTTTCATGTTTCACTTTGGCATTGAAGTCGTGCAGTATTTCTAAATGTCTCGTCACATTTTTTGCATTTGGTTTTAAGGGTACATTGTGAAATCTGATGATTACGGCCGCACTTAAAGCACTTGTGATTTGACTTCAGCCACAACTCCACTTGATCTTGATTCAGCAGTTTGAAGTTAATGCACTGGTTGAAGTAATGTTGCACAGTGTTGCAAAAGGGGCAGTACCTCTTTGGTTTCTCCTTCTCGATTGTCGTAGCACTTGTCGGTTTACTCTGTTCACCACCATGTAAGACAGTAGCAAATCGTTGCACTGGCTTAGAGTTTCTTTGCTGGTCTCTCTGTGGCTGAGAGTAGGCTCTGCTTGAATGACTAGCGTACTGTGACTCGTCCTCTTGTATTCTGAGCTCATATTCAAGCCAGTCACTGAGTTCAAGCAGTGTCGGAACTGGTATTTGAATGGGGTTAACGAACCTTCTGAAATTTGCTTTAAGGTCATGAGGCAGTTTGGCAAGAAGGCGTGAAACGTGTGACCCACATTTGAGTTCTGTCCATCCCTGAGCTCCAAGTTGGTCCAGCATTCCAATTAATGCACGTATTTTCAGGGCAAACAGTCTAAAAGATTTAATGTCACCACTCTTGATCGTTGGGCCATCCATCAATTCTGCAATTCTTTGTAGCGCGAGTTGATGTGGTTGACCATAAAGTGCAGTTAGGGACCTCATAGTGTTGGTGTATGGGTACCTGCTGTTGACATACGAGTCTGCAATGAGCAAGGCATTCTCTTGTTTCAAATGATCAACCAGTATTTGGTACTTGAAACGTTCTGTAGACTCAACAGGTAGCAAATTCTCCAGTGCAATTTTGAGTCGAGCAAACTCTCTGGGATCCTCACTGCAAAAATTAGGAATGGTGGGGATAGGACCTCTGTAGGAGGGCTCTACATGACAAGATGGAGGAGAAGGAGGACGCACTGGGTGGTATTGCTGATATGTCTCAGGCTGAGCGTAATCTGCATACTGTCGTGGGGTCAAGAGTCTTGGTTTGTCTGCAGGAATAGGAGCTGGATGATCATAGTAGTCTGAGTGTCTCTCATAGTGTACATGATGAGCTAATGTATCCCGTGGAGTAAGTCTCTCATCTTGATAGACTGGACTTGTGGCTGAATAAGCATGATAAGGTTGCCGATGACCTTGTGGTTCAGTGGAAGGGAAATAACTGGCATTTCTGCGGTTTAGGCTATGATCTGTATAAATCCCATAAGTAGCTGCTGTCTCTTGGCTGTAGTCCTGATGCATAAACTGAACAGCTGCGGAAGATTGTCTGCAATCTCTTTGATCAGTGGACAGATAGTTATGGCCTCTGTGGTCCATGTTGTAGTAACCACAGGGTCTGTCTATATGCCTAATGCCGAGTTGAGGATGTGTAACATCTTCTTGATGAGCTAGCTTAGCATGGGCTTGAGTTGGTTCATAAGGAGAGAAGGGATGACTTGAAGTTGGCCGATTTGCAGAGCTTGGTAGTCTCAGTTCTCCTAGGTTATCAGTGAGATATTCAATCTCTTTGTGACTGACTGATTGAGAATGCAGAGGGTATCCTTGTGAATCTACAGGCAGTGCCCTCATGGGCTGAGGAAGATCGTCTTGATCTCTAGGCAGAACTGGCCTGCCCTCAGTGGCTGCTGTATATGGGCTTGAAGAAAGAACTCTCTGATCTGTATCAATTATTTGCCTTGGAGAAGTCCGAGTACGGGGCTTTGGCTGTGGCAGTGGCTGCGGCAAACCTTGATATGTCTCCACAAATGAGCTTCTTTCACTTGATCCAGTGCTTCTATCTTTATTTGGTTCTGGTCCGCTTCCAGTACGTGGGAACTCTTTAAATGCAGGCCTTTCACCTGGTTCAGGTCCAGTGGCATACTTTGTGTACTGTTCATCAGAATGAAGTGGCTGATGTGGCACAGCATAATCAACATAGAAGTCATCTAAGTATCTTGGTGGGATGACTTGTCGACGTGGACGAACCACTGGTGAATCTGGGGTAGCCTGTCTTTTTGTTCTGGACATGGTGTTGCTGTAGTAGTTGCCTAAATCCGGCTCGAAGGACCAATTTTGTATGAAAGTTCGTAAGGTGCAGTTCTTAAACTAGGTGACAACCGCTACAGATTGTCCAGGCAGAACAATAAATCACTTGGTCCATGTCCACAAAAAAAGATCCTTTACTGTTGTCTTTGATTCATACATCAGTATGGGTGTGGTTCTATAAATGAACAATAATAACAATAATGAATATATATATATATATATATACACAATTATGAGGCAGAAACAGTAATAACTGAACAATATAAAGTAATAATACAATAGCAGATTTGGACGTATTTATAAGTCCAGCAGGTGTATATTTCCTCAGTTGATTTAAAGTGAATATATGTATAAACCTATCAAATAAAGCAGAATTAAATATTTCCACATAATATTAAAACAGCTGCATTCAAAGTCTTATTCAGCGTGTTTTATGCTGAAATGAATGCGTGATTGAGGTTACGTGCGCATTGACAACTTCAAAGAATTAGCGACCATTTAGTTTTGCAATATAACATAAAAGTAATTCAATCTAACAACAGATACACAAAAGAGTATTTAACTACTTACTTTTAAGATGTACGCACACAGTATGAACAAAAATCAGCGAGAAATTGGACCAGATCAGCACGATGATCAGTACAAACTGACGCAACTTCGATGCATGTCGGAACATGAACAGTCTTTGATTGACATTCAGTTCTGCTGATTTAAACCAATGAAATTACAGAAATAATAGGTGATTCAGAGATAAGTATTTTCTTAACTGCAATATAATTAATATCCAGTGGAGGGCGCCAGCGTCATTATTAAAGCTTGGCCTTTTGTACAATATCTCTACTGTCTTTCTATGATTTTTAGTGGTAGCTGCAAATTGATCAAATATTATTTGAAATTTGATGTTATTGACATTTGGCAGAACTAAATCCAACACAGTTGGATGAATAAAGCACATTTTTTTGTAATTTTTAGTAAATATTATGTAATATAGAGTGAATATTACTTTAATTTCAGCAATTTTGTGTTTATAATTTGCTATAAATACACTGTATTATCATGCAACCAACCAATTTTAAATAATTCTCTTTGTTTCATTTAGGCTAAAGAAGCAGATCTACTGACTTTGGAGCAGGTAGTGGCTGACTCCACTCTCACTGCAAGTAAATTCAGGGAGTGGAAAGAGACCAATGCTGTTCTGCTGCAGGAGATTATTCTGAGCCGCCCCCCTACAGACTGAGCCCTTGACTGCCCCTAGTGCCTCAGCTGTGCATCCCTCAACATAGATGTCTATACACACTGAAAGAGTATACACCAGAACACAAACACTGCAAAAATGGAGTATGTTTTCAAATCTGGTCTTGACAAAAGAATTCAAAAAATGTATCTAAGACTACCGTTACTTTCACTTGCCATCATTTGTCTATTTATTATTTATTTTATTTTAATTAATTTTTTTAAGGGAGTTGTTATGAATAGCTTTAGGTTAAAACCAACTCATAACAAGCAAAGAGAAGAAGATCCATTGAGTCCCTATTCTCATTCCAGAGGCTTTAAGCCAGGGGTGTCCAGTCCTGCTCCTGAAAGGCCAACATCCTACAGAATATAGTATCAGTTTACCCAACACTCCTGCTTTGAAATTTCTATTTGAGCTGGTTTAGGTGTGTTTACTTTAGGCCGGGACATACCAAGCCGACAATCGGCCATTGGCCAACGTCGGGCCGACGGCGAGCGACGGTCGGGCTAGTTTGTTTGGTGTGTTCCACTCGTTGGCTCTCGTCGGGCTCACGTCGATTCAACAGGTTATGAAAACATTTGCGTACTAGAATGATTGGGAAAGATCACGTAACATTTTAACAGCCTTCTGTCTGTACCGCCTTCATTTATGTGCTTATTTTCAGCACTTTCGCTTTAATTCTCTGGCAGTGACTCGTTCGTTAAACTGAACATCCAATCAGAGCTCTCACTCACGCCGACGGTCCCAACATGTTGAATCGGGTGTAACGAATCAGCTCATGGGAAATATGAATAATTAATCATAACTAGTTATAATTAATTCAAGTGGGAGGTTGCAATTGCTGTAGGGTTTTACGACCCTTTGTTCGAAGGCATGGTAATTTGCACATGTAATCCGCTTGGATGCACAAACTAATAAAGATTCTTAGAACACTAATATGTTGCATAGGTATAAACATACAATATACACTCTCAATTAGATCATCCGAATACTAATTCATAGATACTAAACATGGTAGGGTTATATATATATGTAAGCTGACAGGAGTGAGTGTTTCG